AATTTTTTTTTTTTTTTTTGAATACGAAACAAAAAAAAAAAGTGGGACGGACACAGAGCGACACCGAAATGCTATCGACGGCGGGCGCGTCAAGATATTCACCCGCATCGATGCCCACCGTGTACCCGGCCCCGTGGACGCGCTCTCTCGTTTAGTGGCGCGCTGTGAACAATTCGGTATGCGCACCACTCTGCACGCCCACCCGCCCTCGATCACCTTCATCCGCCGGCCCGCACCGAAACTTCGACCCAAATCCGACGTGCAGCGGACCATTGACCTCCCCCCCGCGGCCAATGCTGCTTAAGGGGTAGGATTTATGGAAAATATAATTAATAAAATTTTAAATCAAAGCTGATACAAACACGACTCTACGGCCTGCGATCTACTCCGTTTCAGTTTAGTCTGAAAAGACCTATGAGTCTGGCACGCTGTGGGCCGATAAGGGGATACCGACAGGTGCCTCCTTCTCTCTAAAAGAAGCCATCAGACTACTACTAATGGGTACCCGTGTCCGATGGCAAGGAGGGGGCATATGACCTTCCGCGGGGGTGATAAGCCTCCTACCAAAGCGGCCTCGAGTGGTCCCTTTTGAAGCCCTACTATGCAGCACTTAGTAGACCGCACCTGCGGTAAAACGAGATGCGGAGGGCCAGGCCAGTCTAGGCCGCCAGCCTGCGGTAGATGAGATGTGAAGAGCCAGGCCAGTCTAGTCCGCCAGCCTACGATCATGATTCAAAAACGACCCGTTAGTTCCCCCGCGAAGTGATAGAAAGAGGAAACAATATTTGAAAAGGCAAAATAATTTCCGGGAGATTAAATTCCTCCCAAAAAGTTGTAACTTCGCAGCGCACTAAAGCCTGTAGACCCTCTGAGACTAAAGTGACGGTCCAGATCCGGACACATATCTGATGCGCGACTCTTCCTCATTTCTTAATTTTCTCTTTTCTTTTTCTTTCTTTAAATTTCTACTTGGTTGTGACTACAGTCTTATGCACATAACCCATAACTTGACTAGAGGGGACTCGGTGCACAGAAGAAAAGACCACACCATCCCTTCTACCTTCGTGTCCCTGGGCGATCCTGGCGACTACCATGACCACAGGCTGGTTGTGGTCTACTGTACAGCAGTGCGCCGAGCCTGCGTGGACCAAAGGAAAGTCCAGTGGCGCACCCCCACCCTTTTTCCTGTGGAATTGCCAACCGGATTAGTCCAAGAACATGCCGCACACAGAGCGCCTGATACACTACTGAGGGGCGTGAATAGGGTGCGCCTGGTGCACCATGGAGGGTCGTGACACCACGCCGGTTGCAAGGGCCTTATACAGGTACGCCGAGGGATCCTCGCAATATGCTAATGCAGTTGTTAAATTTCTTGTTTCATGATGGTGATGGTATTGCAATGTATGGTGAACAGGTTCTGATTTCTATCTCGTATTTTGTTGTGGTTTTGTTTTGTGTTTTATGTGATCTGGAATACCCGAGAGAGACCTTGTCCAAAGACGATTTTGTGTGATAGAGCTGATTGCCCAAGGCTATTTTAGAGTTTCCATCTCATGTGTGCTTCATGTGCATGCTTCCTATGGTGTGTGTTTTCTGTGAGAATGTCGCGCATGGTTCACCTGAAAGCAATGATATTGAGAAAAGGTGTCCATTCACTGACCAAGGGATGCTTCCACTTGAGGGCTTGAGATTTTGAGCCACATGAATGTGCAAGGAATATGAGTGTGAGCGATATACATGCAAGGAACATGAATATGGATGAAGCACAGAAATCCAGGATGCAAAATCACACTGAAGTCCAAGTAGTCAAAGCCAAAGCAGATAGCACATGGAACCAAGTAACCATCCAATTGAGAATGATACAGAAGAATCGTGAGTCAATGTCCATGCCCAACAGGGCAATACCAACAGCATAACCCAAATGTAGCTCTCTCTTGTGAATGGCGCCAGGCGCCCTATCTACTCTACAACTATCCTACAACTACAGCAATGAAAAGCAACCAGACAACCTGACTACCAGCGAGTGATGATGTCAACACCAATGCCGACCTCCACCATCACCAGGTACGTGTCCTCTTCCCCACACTCTCCCTTGTTACCCACACARCGCCCTTCACCTCCRAAGTACCACCTTCGCCCTCACCTCCCCTGCACCCTCWTGCGRCCCSGCTATGGCCGCCAGTGCCCTGCGTGCAGGCAGCGCCCTACCGCCTAGCGCTGGCCTGCTTGCTCTTAGCGCAGCACTGCCTTGCACAGCACAACACACATGCATCCGCGCAGCGTGCCCGCAAGTGCCAGCATTGGCCAAGATCCCCGCTGCCTCGCCCTGCTTGCCTATATCCCAGTGCAGCGTGTGGGCAGCCTCCCTTCAGCCTGTGACCGGGGCCCAGAGGCTGAAGCCAACTCGATACAGTTGGGCTCCGGGGCAATGCAGTTGCGCCTCCTTCATCAAGGCTTGTGGCCAGATTCAGACAGTGGGCCGATTTCCCTTTGGCATTTTCGGCCTCTCTACCCAGCATGCATTGTCGGCCTCACGTTCGAGTGCCCAGGGCCTAACTAACTCAGAGGCCCTGGGCATTTCAGCATTTGCTGAAATCCGAGACTCGGTGCACTCCAACCAACTGGCGTGCTGCAACTATATAGACCCCACTTCGTGAAATGTTGGCATAGAGGRCTCTTGTTGATTTGCWGGCCCRCCTTCACTTAGGGCGGGCACTAGGCTTGCTGGGGCCTTAGCCCATAACATGTACATCATGGCAAGGCCCCTACTTGAGGGCTCAATCCTCACATTCCATCCCCCTTAGCTTCGAAAGTCCGCTGAGATGCTTACTTCGCAGGTGCCTTCCCTTTTAACTTTCGTTCATAATCTGCCACCACATGAGGAGCTGTTTCCATCACTTCCTCCCGGGTAAACCACCGATCTTCTTTCGGATCCGTATGATGCCTGAATCTGATCCGGTACTCCGTCTTGGGTTTAGGATGTCTTCCTTGACCCAGCGGCTTCGGAACAGGCATATCCCTGTGATCCACAATATCGTCGATGTCGACTTGTCCATCCATGGTTGGGGGCAGCATCGATCTCCTGGAAGGGAATTGATCAGTATCAGCGAAAGGTGCAAGCTTTGAGGCATGAAAGACTGGGTGAGTGCGTAAGTGTCCAGGGACACGAATGACATATGTGGGACCATCTAACTCATCTCCCACTACATCCAAGACTTCCCAGGGACCAAAGTACTGAGGCATTAGTTTGCGAGATATCCCGAATTCCTGTCCTAACTCACTAGCCTTGACCCAGACATGTTCCCCTACCTGAAATGTGGACTGTCTGCGATGTGGATTCTCAGAAGCTATCATGGCTTGCTGAGCCTTCTTCATATGTTCAATAGCCTCTTGAAGCAACTTCTCATATTGCACACTGTATTCAAGTGTGCCTGGAGTTGCAGCAGGCCGGTTTTCAGGTAGGAGGAAGTCTAGTGCTGATCTAGGCTTCCATCCTAAGTGCAGCTGGTTAGGACTAACGCCGGTACTACTATGTATAGCATTGTTGTACAAGCTGGCGATGAGAGGTAGCTGCTCATCCCAGTCATCCTGGCTGGGCTTGATGTAGTGCCTCAGCAAGTGCTGTACAACTCTATTCATTTGTTCGGCCTGTCCGTTGGCTTCGGGATGATTCCCTGAAGTCATCTGCAGTCGACTGCCCATCTGTTCCGCAGTCTTCTTCCACAGCTCACTTGTGAATCAGACGTCTCGGTCACTAATGATGGTCTTTGGTAATCCAAAGTCCCTTACCCAGTTGTCCTTGAACAACTTGATGACGTATTCCGTCCTGGCTGTCTCTGGCATTAGTACTAGTCTAGCGTACTTGGTGAATCTGTCAATGATGACGAAAATGTGCCTCTTACCACTCTTGCTGGTCACAAGAGTGTCCATGAAATCCATGGAAACACTCAATCCTGGACCATCAGGAATAGGTAAAGGCTTCAACAACCCAAGCGGTGCTTGAGTTCACGGCTTGTCCCGCTGACCTGACAGGTCTCAACATACTTCTTTGCGTCATCTAACATTCTGGGCCACCAAAATCGCTGTACTAAGTTAGCACTCGTCTTCTTGTAGCCAAAGTGCCCAGTTGCATCATGACATTCTCCTAAAAATAAACTACGCAACTGTTCACTAGATGGAACTACCAATCTCTTTACTCCGGCCTTATCAAGATAGATTAGCCCATCCACCATCACAAACTCACTTTCTGTGGCCTTGTCTTTCGCCTGAAGTTTGCGGATGATGTCCATCGTGATAGGGTCTTCCTGATAGGCTCCCACCAATGATTGAGTTACTTCATTAGATACGCCAAATTCAGAAACTAGCGCACCTAGGTAGTCCGCTCTACGGGATAGTGCATCTGCAACCTTATTGTACTCTCCCTTCAGATACTCAAGTTTGAAGTGATATTGGTCTATGACCTCAATCCATCGCTTAAGTGCATCGGAAAGAGCTGGTTGAGTCTTGATCCATTTGAGGGTTTGATGATCAGTCCTCAAGTAGAAGAACCTTCCCAGTAGGAAGTGTCTCCAATGGACAAGAGCTTTATATAGAGCATAGAGTTCCCTCTCATAGGTGGACTTCGCCAGTTTCTTCGATGGCATTTTCTTGCTCATGTACTCAATCGGCCTCAACTTCTTCCAATCCTGCTGAGCCAGCACTGCGCCAATGCCGTATTGGCTTGCGTCAGTGGTCACTATGAATGGCTTCTGCAGATCGGGAACCATGAGAACTTCATGATTCATGAGTGCATGCTTCAATCTCTTGAAAGCACCCTCGCACTCATCACTCCAGTCCCACGGTGTGTCAAGTCGAGTTAGATCAGTCAAAGGAGAGGCGACTGTAGAATAGTTCTTTACGACGTTCCTATAGTAGCCGCACATTCCTAAGAATGATCTGACCTCAGTGACTGTCTGAGGTCGTGGCCAGTCTCGAATACTAGCCACCTTCGCATCTTCCGGCCTGATTCCCTCCGCGGATACTTCATGACCCAAGTATAAAATTTTTGTGCGACCGAACTCACACTTCTCTAAGTTGACCTTATACTTGTGTTGTCGTAGGAGCGAGAGAACTGTCTCAACATGCTGTGCGTGCTCCTCGGCAGACTTACTAAAGATCAGAATGTTGTCTAGATAGACTACGACAAACTTATCTAAATGGTCATGGAAGATCCGATTCATAGCGTGCTTGAATGTACCCGGCGCATTTCAAAGACCGAAAGGCATCACTACAAACTCATACAGACCATATCTAGTCTGAAAAGTTGTCTTATGTTGGTCCTCAGGTCTTATTGCGATCTGATGATATCCGGATTTCAAGTCTATCTTTGTATAGTACTTGCATCTCTGCACCCTATCCAAAAGGTCGTCTATGCGAGGTAGACGCTCTGCGTTTTTCACTGTGATGGCATTGAGGCCCCTATAATCAATGCACATCCTCAAAGTACCCCCCTTCTTCGGTACGAATAGCACGGGTGATCCGTAGGGGGAAGTACTAGGCCGAATCCATCCCTTCTCTGTCAGCTCCTTGAGTTGCTTCCCAAGTTCATCTAACTCGGCAGGAGCCATCCTATAGATCCTTCCCTTTGGGGTCTTACTCCCTGGAATGATTTCTATAGCGTGGACGACCTCCCTATCAACAATTCCTGAGGGCTCCTCGAACAGATCAGGGAACTTAGCAACGACGCGTTCTATCTTTGGGGGTGTTTTAACGGCCTCCCCCTTCTCAGAGACATAAACAAGGTACATGCCCTCCTCTTCGTTTTGCTTGTAATAGTTGTAGAACGCTGATGCACACAAGCAGCCATAGGTATCTACAATACTTCTGGCCTTGAACTTAGTTAATCTGACAGTTCGGCCATCGGGCAACTTATGCTTGAGCACCTTCTTATCCCAGTCGAACTGGGGCTTAGCAACTTCGAGGTAGTACATGCCTAACAACATTTCGAATGGCAAGTCGTCGCTAACCAAGAACGAGATCTTATGGTTAAGCTCTCCTCCTCCTTAGGAGAAGGTACAGACTACGTCCTTGATGTAGTCTGTGACAATCATGCGCTCTTTGTTGGCCAAAGTAGATGCTACTGGTCTACTAAGGTGTCATACCCGGTCCTGTAGGTGCAACCTTTCCAAACAATCGCGACTTATGTAATTTCGCGTGGATCCGTTGTCTATGAAGGCTCCACATTTGCGGCCTCCTACATCCACTTCCACTACGAAATGTTCCCCTCTAGGACCTTTCCTTAGTGCCACCCAGGACTCGCGAGGGTCCTTGTTTGACCACTCACTCTCCAAGTCCTCTAAGGCTTCAAACACATCTAACGTACAGAGCATAGTTTGGTCTAGTTGTGTCTGCGGGGTGACTAAGGGGTCATTAGCCTTGGCCTTGTCATGAAGTAGGGAGGGTATCAWTCCTACTTCATCTTGAGTAGAAGCAGCTACTACTTCCACTGGCCTCATGTGTTTCCCGAGCTTGAAGCCTGGGAATAAGTTGCCCCTACTTTTGGCGCAACCTTTTGCGTAACCTTAGCGTTCTGACACTTCCACTGCGTGTGTCCGTATTCCCCGCAGTTGATACAAGCGCCACGCAATCGGCGGTCACTCCACACGTCTTGATCAAGACCTGCCTTAGTCCACTCAGCCTGTTTGGTCTGATTGGAGGCGGCCTTCCCTTGACCCCTAGGCTGGCCCTTCCCTCGGGCATCTGCCTTAGTCCTTACAACCGCGGCGAGGGTGCTACCCTCAGCTACCTCCTCGCCGTCATACTCTGAGTAGTCCACCAGGTCAGAGAGTTCGTCGATCTCAGTTTGAGTCTCATCGGACTCAACCATCATCAACTTTGCTCCCTTCTTTTTCCACTCCTGGGGACTCTTCTTCTTCTTTGAGTCGTTCCCTGAGGTGGGTTGAGCATTGCCTAGGTTGGCCTCTAAGTCTAAGGCTTTCCTAGACAATGTCTCAAACGTGTGGTACTCGGTGCGTGCCTCACTGACCAGCAAGTTCCTGATGTTCTCTGGAAGACATCTAATGAAAGTTGTTAACAGGAACTGGTCACTATAGTTGATGCCCGGGACGAGGATCAGGCCCTCAACGGTAGTCGTAAGCTCTCTGACTGACCAGAACTTGCGTTGGTCAAGTTTATTCATGGCATCAGTGGCCCTTTGCGCCTCCTGTGGGTTATGCCATCGAGCTTCTACCATTTCCATGAACTGGTCTAGAGTCAAAGACTTGGCCCAGTCCGCCATGCGTCGCCCGTACCCGGCTTTCACAACCACCCCATCTAGCCATTTGGCTGCTTTACCCTCTAGGTAAGATGCCGCAGTTACCACCTCATCCTCTGGCAAGGTCCTTTTGGCCTTCACCCAAACCGGGACCGTCCTCAACCATGTGCTGAGTTCCTCGTCCTTTCTCTCGCCTGAGAAGGCAAGAGGCGGTTTCATTGGGGTCTTGGGGTACCATTGACCTTGCGACTGTCCAGGTTGGTGAACAGGTTGTTGTGGTGATGCAGCAATCACCAGTGGACCCGAAGAAGAAGATGCAACAGTTTGTGAGACTGCTGCAGACGTACCACTTGGCTGGGTGCCAACTTGTACGGGAAAGGGGCCTAACATCGCCGTTAACGGCAACAGCGATTGTGCTGGTGGTCGGAATCCTAGCTTTGTCAATGCATCCAGGATCTGGTCCAAAGTGCTCTGCATGAAGTCCATCCTGCTGTCTACATGCGCGTGCAGGGACAACATGTTGTTCTTCAACACTTTCAGGGTGTCAGACAAACCCGATTCGTCCAATCCCTCTAACGCAGCCTTGTCAGCCTCTAACGTATCAAGTCTGGCCGCTCTACTTTTTATCTCTTTTTCTCTATCGGTTGCTTTCTTCAGATCCTCCTCTAACTGCTGGCGGAGCCTCTCGACCTACTGGATCTCTCTGAGCTCCCTCTCACGTGGGGTCAACGGGCTGAACTGCGAGCCCGCCATTTGACTAGAAGACTGTCTAGACCCTGTTGAACCGGAAGTGCCCGAGGAACTCGTGGAACTCAGTGGCATTCCCAATTGAGTCCCACTTGTCCGTGACGAGGACGCAGACGGTGACGCAACAGAGCTGGTACCGTTAGCCATTGCTGTTGCTATGGCTGTTGTTGCCTGCTCTCTTGCTACTCTGTTTGCTTCCTGTAGTCCTGCTGCTAGAGCACGGGCTCTACGTTCGGCATGAAATCGTCTTTCTTCTCCCTCGTCCAAGGTCCTGAACACGTGCGGAACCCTTAATGCTTCCGAACGTGTAAGTCTCCTATTGTCAGCTCTATCATCAACAGGATCTGATCCACTCATTAGTTAGGCAGATAGTTTCTGCACTAGAATCCCCTAGTGGAATCCTACCACAACTTGTATCTGACCGGCACCTAATTTTCTAACAATAGTTGTGTCCGACGAGTATCCTACTATGCCGAATCAAGTGTCATGTCTACAACATTCACACAGATTGTCTACATAGTCTAGATGCACCCTGAATTGTTCACTTACAGCAACATTAGTTGGAACTGGCTATGGTAGCATACAACAGTCCTATACTAATCTGTCTGTGAGGTTAGCAGTCCGTCAACCAACTAATCAAAGGTACAAAAGGACAATGTAGCAGATGTATGATGAGTGGGTATAGTTGTGTATTCAGTTGAGCACCAATTGGAACCTACCCTCCCCTCCATCCAACATACGGAACAGCATCTTGAGCAAAGCAGTGTTTTCTTGTGTATCGACCCACCCCTGTGCCCAAGTTGTCACCGAGCAAGCCAGCCCAGCCACTCTTATTTACCCTCGTACGACGACAAGCCTTCCTGTCCATGTGATCTGGTTGATCAGGAGGAATTTATAGAGCGCCCCCATCTCTATAGGAATTATTTAATGTCGCGGTCAGGACGACGATCACAGCCAGATTCACAATGAACTCCCAACCAGAAATGTTTATAGACGGTCTGGTAAGCGTCTGTCATGGGCTGGCACACCCGGAGGAACTTCTATTAGCGCAGCAAGTGCCAAACAGGACAGCAGCCATCGCATGCGTGCACTACTCCCTGTGGGTTGGCATGGTGACCGTGACCCAGTGCTTCGACCAGGGCCCTTCAGAGGCACCGCCCTTTCTCCTTCCAGATGCTTCCGGGAAGATTGTCGTCTCTCAAGGTAGCGCGCTCAC